AATAGCACACAACGTTGGTGGTCAGGCTCAGATGTCAAGTGACCCGGCCTTCACCTGGATCACAAATCTTTCTTAATTACAAAATTGGTTCAGCTTGTACATGCCGTTACTCAAATTCATGTTGGATGCTTCTGCATGTTTAATAAGAATCTAGTTTATATATATATATATATATATATATATATATATATATATATATATATATATATATATATATATATATATATATATATATATATATATATATATATATATATATATATATATATATATATATATATATGTTGTACCTCAATTTACGCGTCAATTGAACCCAGAGGGTCCTGCTATGAAATCCGCTAAGTGAACAACAGAACATATGGGATTAATTCCAATGAAACCGGCCTGACCCCCAAACTCCACCTTTTTGAAGGCACATACCTATGGTAGTAGAAAATAACATCTTAATTTTATGATGGTACATGCACACAATTAATACTTTAAGAGAAATAGAGAAATACAGTCGCTAAGTTAATGTCCATTCAATGGACTCAATCCTCCCTCTCTCTCTCACACTACACTCACTGGCTCTTCCCTCTCGAGAAATTTTTGGGGGAAAAACTACTAAATTTTAATAAATAATACCTCAAACTAAAGTTAGATAATACAATTGACATTGCTGGATTTTGTAAGACCAGGAATATTTTGAATATAAATGTCATATATTTTGCACAAAAGATAACATAGTTACCTAGAGAAAAATTTTTTATCTAAAATTTGTATGTTTAATGAAAAATATATGATGTTTATATGCAAAATGATCACCAAAATATAAGAATTCCAGCAATGGAAATTATATTCTGACCGGTAATTTGTATGAATTTTATGAGCTAAAGCAAATATCTTCAGTTAATAAAAAAAAAATAATCTTCATCAACACTATCTGCTCTTCCAACTCATGTATCAGTCCCAACCCTACCCCACCAATCCTCCTTCCAGGGTTTTTAACATTTAGTATTAAATAATACCTCAGATTAAAGTTAGATAATATAATTGACATTGCTGGATTCCTTGGTAAGACCAGGAATATTTTGAATATAAATGTCATATATTTTACAAAAGATAACATAGTTAATTTGAAAAATTTTTATCTAAAATTGTATGTCTAATGCAAAAATATGATGTTTATATTCAAAATGATCATCAAATTATAAGAATTTCAGCAATGTAAATTATATTCAGGACCGGATAATTTGTATGAATTTATGAGCTAAAACAAATATCTTCAGTTAATAAAAAAAATAATTCTTCACAGGGTAACAGATGGTCGGTCGGTCCCTCCTCCCCACCCCACCAACCATCCCAAGGAGATGTGTGGATAACCACTAAATTTTAATAAATAATAACTCAAACTAAAGTTAGATAATATAATTGACATTACTGGATTCCTTGTAAGACCAGGAATATTTGAATATAAATGTCATATATTTTGCAAAAGATAACATAGTTAATTTGAGAAAAATTTTTTATCTAAAATTTGTATGTCTAATGCAAAAATATGATGTTTATATTCAAAATGATCATCAAATTATAAGAATTCCAGCAATGTAAATTATATTCAGACCGGATAATTTGTATGAATTTTATGAGCTAAACAAATATCTTCAGTTAATAAAAAAAATTCTTCACTGGGTAACAGATGGTCGGCTTGTCCTCCCTCCCCCACCCCCCACCAACCGTCCCAAGGAGATGTGGATAACCACTAAATTTTAATAAATAATACCTCAAACTAAAGTTAGATAATATAATTGACATTGCTGGATTCTCAAGATTAGGAATATTTTGAATATAATGTCATATATTGCACAAAAGATAACATAGTTAATTTGAGAAAAATTATCTAAAATTTGTATGTCTAATGCAAAAATATGATGTTTATATTCAAAATGATCACCAAATTATAAGAATTCCAGCAATGTAAATTATATTCTGGCCGTAATATGAATTTTATGTGACAAACAGGCAGTCAGGCAGGGTGGGCAAATCTATAATAGCGCCTGAGCCGGACATTCACCAGTATGTGGGAAAAAATCCGTGTTAAGTGAAAGTCTGGCAGGCACCATATAAAAAACGCGTTATGAAACTGGTGGGGGTAAACTGTATATATATATATATATATATATATATATATATATATATATATATATATATATATATATATATATATATATATATATATATATATATATATATATATATATATATATATATATATATATATATATATATATATATATATATATATATATATATATATATATATATATATATATATATATATATATATATATATATATATATATATACATACAGAACCCTCACTTACGCGGTCAATTGAACCACGGCGTGCCCGCGTGAAGTGAACAACATAACTATATGGGATTAATTGAAATAGAGACTGGGCCGACCCCAAACTCCACTTTTTCAGACACAATACCTACGTTAGTAAAAAATAACTTTAATTTTATGATGGTATGCACACAATTAATAATTAAGAGAAATATCAATAATATTAGGTTTTTAACACTTACATTAGTAGAAAAGATGGCTGGGCACCGATGGGGGGCTTGGTTCCAAGGCAGAGGCAGATTATTGGCCCTCATCTGTATCATCTTGTCATTTTGTACTATCCACCACAGAGGCTTGCAGGGCCTTGTCAAACCCCTTAAAGTCCATATAAGTCCATATCCTCACTATAATTATCACTATCACTGACTTGGGCGGGTGGTAGGGTGGTGGGTGAAGAACTCTGTAATGTTTGATGACTGGCTAACTTTTGCGCACCCTGCTCGCCGCCTCCGCGTAAAGGGTACACACCGCGAAAGTGAGCATTCCGGTTTCGATAGGGTACTGCGAGAACGTGAAACGTAGTGACCGCGTAGAGGGTTGACTGTATATATATATATATATATATATATATATATATATGCAAGTAAATCACTGTAGGTGCTGATCTAGGTTTTTGTGTTTTCTTTCCTTGTGGTTATCAGCATATATATATATATATATATATATATATATATATATAGCCTATATATATATATTAGTTCTTGAGTTGATAAGTGGCAGGGCTGAAGTAAACACTTTGTGCTTTTGCTTTATTGTAGAAAATATAGTTTCACAGGTACTGAGTTGAGTTGAGAGTATAATGTACCTTCTCTGCTCAGGGAAATATCTTAGTGCACTTGTGTAGGAGAGCACTTAAGTGAGTTGTTCACTGGGTAACATGTGATATGATAGTCTCTCTCTCACACCGCGGAGAGGGTGGTCAAGCAGGTCTTATAGGAAACGCGCGTCAGATATTTGTTGCTGAGCTGCACTGACCCAGCTTGACCTCGCCTGCTCCCGGAGAAATGTCAACTCACCGATTGATTCATACTCATGGGTGATTGATCTGGTGAATATATGGGTATTATACATTTGGGTAATATTTATATAATACAAATGGTGCTGTTGCAAGTGTAAATACTTGTAAATAATCTTTTATGCTTTATCCATAATCTTGTATATTTCACTATCACTTATTATTTTCCAAGCTCGCCTATATATTATGACATGCTTTTTGTGGTACTGTATATGCAACTGCATTGTGAGCAACCATATCATCAATGTCTCATAAATTGAAAAATATTTCACTATTTCATCATAAATATTTCAATACACATCACTTTATCACTTCATGAGAATAAATATTGAGGTTGTAAGAGATAAATATCTTGAGATAGTAGCACAAATGCCACGGTGGGCATTTTTAAACCTACCTGGGGGAGACACTCACTGCTTACTGAGGCAGAAGCATTACTGGCATTTGTTATCTGTTACTGCATGGTCCACCACACATAGAGGGGTTGCCATCTAGCCTTAAGACTTGGATCCATGCAAGAGAGTGGCTTGACAAAAGTGGCGTTAAAATTTGAAGTAATATGGTGAGAAACTTTAGAGAAATGAAAATAAATACCATATTGGCACATCTGATCATTAGGCAAAAGTTTCATTTACATTAAATCAAAACACTACTTAAGAGTGTATGATCCAGAGTGTTGACATCCAGGTCCCAATTACTGCTGGGTAGACAGGCAAATGGCATAAAGAAACTTGCCCATAGTTTCACCTTGCCCTGGGATCAAACCTGGATCCACTTGCTTGTGAGGCAAGCACAGTGTCATTTAACATAAGCTTTCAATACAAAAAGTGGATGAAACATGTGGTGAACATACAAATTAACTAGAGACTGATACTTTTCATTTTGGTGGAGAGGGGCAGGAATTATCCTTGTTGCAGCTGTGGTTGTACAACCGACAATGGTGGGGTGTTTTTACCTTCCGTTGCAGCTGTGGTGTTAAACAGCTGGACGATCACAGGATATTGTTGCCATCCCTGTTGCAGCTGTGGTGTTGTACAGCTGGATGATCACAGGGTATTGGGACATCCCGTTGCAGCTGTGGTGTTATACAGCTGGACGATCAGGGTATTGATGACATCCTGTTGCGCTGTGGTGTTGTACAGCTGGACGATCACAGGGTATTGATGACATCCCTGTTGCAGCTGTGGTGTTGTACAGCTGGATGATCACAGGTTTTTGGTGACATCCCTGTTGCAGCTGTGTGTTGTACAGCTGGATGATCTCAGGGTATTGGTGACATCCCTGTTGCAGCTGTGGTGTTGTACAGCTGGATGATCACAGGGTATTGGTGACATCCTGTTGCAGCTGTGGTGTTGTACAGCTGGATGATCAGCGGTGGTATTGTCCGAGCTTTATGTTACTGCGGTTGGTATAAGCTGACACACTGAAAAAATTTCCATTCTTATGTATGTATTTTTTTTCAGCTGAATCTTCCTGATGAGATGCCTGCTTTGTTCAGTGCAGGGTACAGTCCTATCACAGCTGCTGGAACAGCACCACAAATACAGCATGGCACGCACTTATAGCAGCTCAGCTGACAGCTGGTGGTGTTGGACCAGGGTTGAGCAGACTAAGGATGATGAGGTATTACCAAAGACAGTCCTGTATATTAATTGTTAACATTTTTTATTTTTCAAGAATCACCAGAAATAGAAGCTTTATGAAATAATCAGATTTCAGTGAACTTGATGTTCTTAATCAAAACACATGTTAAATTACTAGTGTGTGTGTTGGACATAGGCCTGTATGAAAGGTTTGATCATTATTATATGAACCTGAAATTAAAAAGACTGTTTGACTTGTTATATTAATTGATGTGTTTAGAAAGAACGATTGATATGATTTTCATTAACAGGTAGTTTCTGAAAATGCATTGAACTTATGAACAAGAACTCTTTAAAATTAAGACTAATATTTTTTACAGGAACTACAGGCCTTTAGAAACTCCTTTAAGTAATATTTTCACCTTTGCAGGTTATTACTGGATATGACAGTGATGATGAGAGTAAAATATCAAGATTAGTGGGTGGCCAAGTGCAGGTGCAAGAAGATGCCATCCAGGTAATTATTTCTGTTCGTTTTGGCTTACTTTTTTCAGCGTACATATACAGGAATAAATATTTGGACAGATTGCACTAGTACAGTATTAAAAAGAGGATTTATAGAGATGGCCTTTAAAACTCAATCCATTTTGTTTATGCAGTATTCTTTCCATTTTTTATACTTGGCACCATTGAGGAGCAACCTGTGAATATTCCCACCCAAGCTTATGGGAGTTCCCCAGTAAACTAGAAGAAACTATTGCTCTTAACGAGAGATTAGAGCTCAAGTTTGTCCTAAGACATGAGAGTGTGGTGAGTGTTTATGTTGTGCTGCTTTTTCTTGCTACTGTGCATACTGCACCTCAATTGACACTGTCTTGACCCTTTTGACATGTATTTGGAGTCTACCATTAGTACTCTGAAATTGTCATTTGAGCACTAAATTGGCCCATTTTTGGCATTCATTTGGCCTATTTTTCATATTTATATTACTGAAATGTATTCCACACCAGAAGACAAACACATACTTGTTCTTTAAGTTCTAATGTACAGTAATGCTCATAACTTCCTAATATGATGAAAATCTGAAGCTTTGTTTACAAGTGGCGGGCAGTGTCACTCCTGTTGTTAGGCAACTCTGCGCTCCTGCCACGAAGGTGCAGCATCCATTTCTGGTGGTCGTTTCAAACTTTGGTGATGTATGTCTAACGTTGCATGAAAAAAATTGAGAGCTCTCAGCTGTGGGAGAAAATCGAAAACATTCTGTGACATTAAAATTTATTTGACTTGTCGAACAAGCGTCTAAAAGGTTAAACCAGATTGATAGTCTCAACCCTCTCATTCCAGCTGCCAGTCACATTCAGGGAAGGTTTCTTTTTCAATTTCTCTTCTAGTTTAGAAGTAAGCTAAGTTCAGTAGTATCGGTATTTTGCAAGAATGTGGACCAAGGCTATTGTGGAAAAGTTAATTTTTCAGAATTGTGTAGTAATACCCCATCTTCCATGACCACTGATAATTCTACAACTGTATGAGTGTGTGGTGTGATGTAGTACAAAAGTTCTTGTTTAACTAGTAACCAATTAAGAAGAATATGGCTGAACATCTCTATGTTTTAGGGTCTGAAAATTCCATAAATGAGGTCTTATTTAATTTAATGAGCAAAATTTTGAATAAAAACTGCTTACATTCCTGTCTGGGTCCAGGTATTTGTATTTATATATTTATTTTTGACTGTACTCTTGTTATTTTATTATTTAATCACTTAATGAAAATATTGAAATAATTTTCTTCTGTAGAGCACCATCTATTAACCTCTTCCCCAATCTCTTACTACTATCTGAACTTCAACTGACCAAACAACTTCACCCAAACCTTTTCAAGTCTCTAACTACAACCTTTATACCTCCTTCCATTCTAAGGAGGTGTATGAGCCTACTATGACTATTGGTCTTTGTTTCCTATCCTGTTCTCCAACCCCACCAACTATATATGGAACTCTTTGACTATCTCACTTCTTGCCATGAGTCGTTACTATCCACACACCTAACACGAGATCCTCTACCTGGGGATTTCAATGTACAGTAGCTAAAACAACTATCTGTGCAGGTGAGGGTCGATATACTCAAACTTTCGTGTGACTAGTGACAGCCCTTATATACCAAAATTTATAGTCCGTCTTCTCATATTGTTTCCCACACAGTATGCACAGTATTTGTTTTAGCTACTGTACATCACAGAGTGTGGCTTGGCTGTTCAAGGTGGGGTTTAGGCACCTCTTTTCCTTTCTTAATGATCTGGAACAAATAATTAAACACCCTACATGTGTTCCAGATCGTCTGATCAACTTACTAACATTCTTGATCTTTGTTTTACCTCTAACCCCTCATGATATTCATTTGCAATTTCTGCCCCCTTAGGGTCTTCTGGTCATAAATCTTATTTCTATTACCATATTTGCCATATATGATGCAGGGTTTTTTATTTTTATTTATTTATTTATTTATTTTTGTATTTATTTTTATTTTTATTTTTATGTATCACAAATTACCCTCGTCTAATGCTCCTATATTATGGATGGGTCTTATGGGAGGCGGCGCCATAGGCGGAGGTGCCTGCTAGGAGTCTGGGACGAGCAGTAGTCCACTAAGCACAAAAATTGTGTTACTAATTATAAAATACTGAAAAACAAGCCAAATAGTCACAATCTATTATCACAAACTTACGTCAATTTGCGAAGGCGTAAATAATGTTCTACATTGGCTTAACGCAGAGGAAGCTCACAACATCTCACTGTAACTCCTTCCCCAGCATACATAACCCACCAGATACAAGTCTTACATTATTCAATGACTGTTTTACCTTTAGAAACATTTATTTATTATCTAAATGAAAAATGCCCTAGAAAGATTAAGAAATGTCAACAGAAAGTTCAGCTGCCAGTCAGCCATTTGCAGTGAGTCGATGGCGCCAAACAATAGCGATGGTGCTACACCCTGGTGGCAGATCGCGACAACACAAAACATTACAGCCAAAAATCACGAGTCTCACATCCCGTCAGTAATTCTCTTGACCAAAATATAAACAAGCCACACAGCTGCTCTGATCAGAGGTACAGTTGAGTTAGCATAATGTTACTATATATGATTTCCTACTTGATTCGGTATAATTGTATTTACATGCACAAATTAATGTTTTCTTCTTCAAAACCACTTTAAAATCACTTTCAATAATTGTATGACATATCATACTAAAAAAAAATTCCACAAATTTCCTTGTAAAATAGGGGTGTGTCTTATATGCCGGCAAATACGGTAAATTAAATTGAGCACTAACCACCTCCCCCCCCCCTCTAAGCGCCAACTATGGCATTATCGGAGCAAACTGGTAATCCTTGCAAGAATTCTCCTCCAATTTTCCTTGGGATGAATGTTGCTTTTCCACTCAGGACACGTCGGTATGTGCTGACAGCATTGCTGGGTATTTTTTTATTTATGATTATTTTTTTTTATTTTTTATTTACTTTGTTTTTACGGGGATTAGTCCACCTGGGCACAGGTCACTGACCCACATCGGGGCCTGGGGACGAAAATGTAATTATAATAATATTAATTCAGATAAGTAATATTTAAAAAACAAATTCAAAATAAAAATAATAAAATAATAATGATAACATAATAATAATAACAACACTGCAGTAATAATAATAAGGAACCATAAAGAAATAAAATAAAAAGATCAAGAGTGAAACAATATTGTAAGTTGTGTTGTCAATAGTAAGAAACAATTGAGACCCTGCAACTGTGTGTAAATGAGGCAGAAAGTCAGATCAGCAACCTGGGACTTGGTCACAATTTTAGTGTGATGCCTTATGGCAGCAGGGTCTACCATTAGACAACACATTATGTTTCCAATATCCTCCCAGGCGGTGGTACCTCCCTGTCTGCCTACTACCTATTTATCCCATTTACCAAAACTTTCACTTTACAATCACGGCTTGATCGCTCCTGTTCTCTTACATGTAGGGGAGAGATAGAGTTATAAACTGTCTCCTTCTCCTGTTACTCACTCCTCTTTCATTACTTCTGGAATTGTTGTAAGGTTATTCTTACATAGGGCCAGCGGAACTTTATAAAAAAAAGGACCACTGATCTGACTAACTCTTCTTCTAGTAAATCCTTCTGGTCTTAACAAAAACATCTGTAACAACTTCTGCACTCTTCTTTTCCTCCTCTCTTCGACCTGATACTCTATAGCTAACTCTCCCCTGACAAAGCCAACCTCTTTGGCACCTTATTCTCCTGACGATTCCAACTCTATCCCTCCTACCTGGCTCCTACTGATCCTATGCACTTTCCTATAATCTCCACCCAGGGTTGCCGTGTGTTATCCAGTTTGGATGTAAATAAGGCGATGGACCAGATGGAATACCCCCACATATTCTGAGAGAGTGTGCTAAAATTCTGACTCCATTGCCTCAAACCCAAACTTTTCCTTCTTGAAGCATGCCATGGTTCAGCCCATCTCGAAGAAGGGTGACCATTCTATTCCCTCAAACTATCGCCCCATTGCCTAATTTCATCCCTCTAAGATTTTGGAAACTATCTTAAACTCTCGTTTTCTCCGTCACCTTGAACGCCTTTTCTTTAGTCGGATCACCAGTATGTCGGCAGGTGAGATCTACTGGTGATCTGCTCTCCTACTGCACCCATCTTTGGTCATCCTCTCTTAGGGATTATGGAAACTATCGCCATGGCCTCGACATCTCAAAGCCTTTGACGAGGTATGGCACAAGTCTTTGCTTTCTAAACTTCTCTCTTATAGTTTCTCTCCCCCACTTTGTTCTCTAATCTCTAGCTTCCTTGAGAACCGATCCATGGCAGTTGTTGTGGGGATCGATCTCTCATCTTTCTCTACCAGTAGTGGTATCCCACAGGATTCTGTTCTTTCACCTACTCTCTTCCTTCTTTTTATCAATGATTTACTTAACACTATGACTAATTCTATCCATTCTTCGCTGATGATTCTACTCTTCACTCTTCTTCACATTTTTCCTTCGCCCTAATTCTCAAACTAGATCTGTTTCTAGAGCTGATATCGTAACATCTACCAATGTGGATTTGTACAACATATCTGAATGGGGAGGTAAAACTCGGTTAATTCAATAGTAATGATACTCGCTGTTTACCATTTACACTTTCCAAATTAGAACATCTCCAACCAATCACATTTCAGGGTGCAATCATTCTGCCAAACTCTTAAAATAGATATGCTAGGCCTCACCATTTCTCAATGTCATGGAAGCCACACATCCAAATACAGTATTGCTAAAGCTGCCTCCCAAAAGCTGGGAATGCTGTACAGATGCAATAGCTACTTCACTCCTGAGCAGTTGTTTCAAGTTTATAAAGGATTCATTCTTCATAACTTGGAGTACTGCTCTCATATCTGGGGTGGTTCTGCTTATTAACTCTTCTCCTTTAGTTGAGAATCTCTCTTCCCTTTCTCTATGCCGCAGTGTTG